CGGAAGAGATTATTTTCTGCTGTGGCTGGGCAGCTTTTGCAGCAGGGTCCTGCTGGGAGAGGCCAGGCAGAGCAGTGCTGGGAGCAGCAGGATGTATGGCCTCACAGGTGGGGAGGGAAGGATGGGGTTAGGGAGTTCTCTGGTCCCTCTGCAGTTTGTTCAGGGCTTTTTACTTATTTAAAAAAAAAATTATAAAAAGTAGGCAACAATATATCAGCTTAGACAACCTCAGCTGTCGTTAATAGTTAATATCACTTGGTACTTGCCAGCTTGCAAAAGTGAACTTCCTGCTGGGCTCCCCGTTCAAAGGGCAGCTGGGGAAAAACAACACTTCAGCAGTGGCAGAGCCTTTGCCCTGCTGGAAGCAGAGCTTTCCCTGCGGCTCTGCTCCTGCCCGTCTACATGGGGGTCAGCAGCTTTTCTCAGCAGCTTCACCATGAACTGTGTGGCACGGCTGTGCTGAGCTTTGCATCATATCCATTTCATAGGACTGTGCTGCATTAGGGCTCTTGCAAACAGGATGGGGGCTCAGACCTCTTCAAAATGCCTTTTTCTTGCTTGTTGCGTAGGTGTTGAGCTGCTTCATTGAATGCCAAGGTTTGGTGTGTTGTGCTCGGGCAGCCGCACTCCCCGGGACAGCCTTGCACGGTGCCTGGGGCTGGCAGAGGCTGCCAGAGCTTCGCCCTGCAAAGAGGGGGCAGCTGGGCAGTGCGGATGGAGACAGTCCTAAGGGCAGGGAATTTAAACAAATTTAAAACATCTAGACCAAGCTTCACTGTTTCTGTGAGTGGGGGAAATGTAGTTTCCTGTGGTGCTCACCTGTACAGATTCTCTGGTGGCTAATAATGTGATTGTGTCTCAAGCCAATGCCTTTCCCTTGGTAAGAGTGTGTGATGGGGGGCTGGTGGTTTTCCTGGCCATGCTTGCTGGCTTGCACAGAGCTCAAGGGAGCTTCATAACTGGTAGAGAGTGAACAGATTTGTCAGTGATGAGCACCTGGAAGCTGTTTCCCTGTGGCATCCCCAAGAATGGAGAACTGTGAAGCCTCTGGCCCTGGGAGTTCCTGCATGCAGGGTGCAGTGTCTGCCCATGGAAATGGACTGCCAAAAGAGCTGCCCGGCATCACCAAAGCCCTTTTCCCCTTCCTCATCCCTCCCCTCGAGGGTGGCCGTAAAGCACCTTGTGTGTTGCAGCTGGGGACATGCAGGAACTGAGATGCTGGGGTGTCCTCCTTTAGCCTCCTGGTGCTCCGCTGTGTCACCCCATGTGTCTCAGCCAGAGCACTTTTAGTGCTTGGCCAGACTATCCAAGAGGCCCTGTTACACCTCTGCATTTTACCCACTCCCATAAAGAGCAGCAGTCCTTGCTCATCTCCAGTCTCATTTTCTTTCTGGCTGCTTGTGGGCTAGATTTGGATAGTGAATGGGCAGAGGAATTATCTTTAAAGGATATCTGAGGAAACTCAGAATAATTTTTCTCTAACTCTTTTTTTTTTTTTTTTAAATCAGAGACAGTTAAAGGAAATTTCATTTTTTCCTTCCTGATGAGTGACTGTGATTTCAAAAGTGTTTAAGCCACTGGCTAATGAGTAGATAAAAGCACTGGTGCCAGTGTGTTTTGCCCGGCTTGTATGGACAAGTTTGGTGATGAGTTGTAGCCAGCCTCTCTGAGAAGCAGGGTATATCCCTCCTGATGCTTATGTTAAAAAACAGCAGGACTGAGCTTTTCCAGAGAAATGCTACAATTTTCCATTTGTGCTTAGAAGACCCCTTGATATCTCTCTGCAATGAAAATTCAACAGGCACCTTGCTGCATTTCATTTAATATTCATTTCCTCTCTTGTCACACATGTGAGCAGTCCTGCCAGACAAGATTTGAGAGCGGTAGTAGAGAGGAGAGCTTAAATTGCTGCTAAATACTGGCAGATCCTGTTATCCGAAGCTGCTTTATGAAGCAAGGATGCCTGTGGAGGAGTTTGTGGTTAGGCAAATTACATCAAAACAATGAGTTGCCTGTTATGGGATGCAATCCAAGTAAATACAGAGGGGGAATCTGAAGGGTTTTTCTTCAAGCTAGAAAATTCAAATGGACATTAAAAGCCAAAGGAAACAAGGTGACATCTCAGACTCATTAAAGTCATTAACCTCCTACTGCTGTGGCTGGGACTTCAGTTGCAGCTTGTGAAATAACTGCAGCTGGTGGAGACAGGTCCCCATATGAGCTTAAGACAGACAAGAGCTGCTCACGTGGATCCATCTACTCCTTCTGCAGATGGAGCCTAAGTTTGGCATCAGATATTGCTTTAGGTTGGAAACGGCCATCTGAAAGGATCACAAATCAGAAGACTGGAAGAAAAAAACATTTTAAAATCTGCTGTTTTCTGAGTGTTGTTCCCTAAACCACCTTATGTAGTAGTATCTCTTTGTCCAAGTACTGTCATTGTCACATGTGCTTCCTTTTGTAATGTTAGTAAAGCAACAGATGCAGGCTCCGAGCAGTCAGAGGAAACTTAGAAACAGCTAACTGAAATAAATTCAAATAAATCTTTTTGGACTTTCCCATTTTCCATCCTTGCTATTTGTTAGCATGCTCATTGTCAAGGACTACTTGGTCCTGGGCAGGCAGAACAGCTGCTCTGAATCCTCTGAGCAACTCAAGGCAGTGCTTGCTGTAGTGAGGACCTGGTGTGAGCATGTGGAGTGTGGCCAGGGAGAGACCTGCTGCATGGGAAGGGTATGGGATGGCAAAGAAGAGGAGACGGGGTGGAGAGGTTAGAGTGTGGGTGGAAAAGTCTAATCAGACCTCCAGGAGATGCTCTTGATGTCTCTGCCCTCGGTGTCCCTTTTCCTGCCGCGGCTCAGTGGTGGGAGCAAGGCTGTGGTATCCAGCTGAGCTGTCTCTGCCAGGCTGCACATTAAGGTGCCCATCTGAGGATCATCCCACACTCCAGCTGGAGAATATCATACCTGGGGCTGCACAAGGTAGCCAGCTGGGATGTCCATGTTGCCTCCAGCCATTGCCTTGTGGGCTTGCTGCAGCTTTGCTTTTGCTGCCACATGGCCTTACCTTGGTTACCTCATGTTTTACTGTTGTTGCAGCTGCACTAAAGTCAACACTGGGTTTGGAAAGAGCCTGTCGGACAGGCCCAGTTTGATTAAACTCTCCTTTGCCTCTTCCAGCCCCAAACCACCACCCCCTGAGGGCGTGAAGTCCAATCCCTCCAAGCGGCATAGAGACAGACTCAACCAAGAGCTGAACAAGCTGACTGGCTTGTTGCCCTTTCCTGAAGATGTGCGCACCAGGCTCGATAAACTCTCCATCCTCCGACTGGCTGTTGGATACCTGAAGGTGAAGAGCTACTTGATGGGTGAGTATCTGTGTTGTAAGGGGTGAAAAGCTCCTGGGGTCAGTCCCCACCGCACGGCTCGCATCCCACCCCAAGCCAGGTTTGGCTTGGGGTGAAGAGTTGTGTCTCCTGAAGGTAGGTTGATGATGAGTTGTGGTATCAGACCCTTGTTTGTTAACGCATCAGTGTTGGATCTTTAGCTGAGGTGCTGGCCTGAAAATGCCCTGGAAAACTGGGGAGGGAAATGCCATGTCTCCAGAAGCAGGGAGGATTTAGCAATGGTTGCCGAGAGGTGCTATATTCATGGGACATCTACCCTTCAGGTTTCTTGCTGCCATGACACACATTTTATCCATGTCTCCTCTGGAAGGAGTACCCTTCACTTTTGGATACTGCACACCCAAATGTGTCCTGCTCTTGCCAGCCCATTGTCAAGGGAGCAGTGGGTAAGACAGTGTGTGTCTTGCTGAACAGCCATGTTTCCCTCATCTAAGTGGAACTGTGGTTTATAATTGAATTAAATTGAAAATCCCCAGGCTGCTGTGTCTCCTGGGCAGGCAGGGGTAGGAGGTGTTGCACAGAGCTGCTCTGTTCGTTGAGGATGGCAGGTTAGATAAGGCTGCTCCTAACAGGCTGCTCCTGTTCAGTTTGGCATCTTGTCAGCTCATTTCTCTCTTCTTTCTTCCCTGGGGGGAGTCTCATACTGCTGTGCTTGCCACCCTGGCCCTGCTGGGGTCAGCTGTGGTGGATCTATTATACTTCTCTAATGAGTGCCTCTATGAGATTGAGGGTGATGCCTCATAGCCAGAGACCTTAGTTGATTCTTGCAGGATGGAGGGTTGAGCTGATGCGCCTGGAAAACCTATCTACTTGCATTTGCACCTCCGCAGCTCTGTTGCTGCGGAGACCCTGGTACAGGGCAGCAACCACAGTGGGAGAGTGGTTGTGGCTGGACACTGATGCTTTTTTGCTTCTGCTCTTGGCACCAGGGACTTTTTGGTGTGTTTCTGCCCCTGTGTGGGTAGCTCCCTTCCTCCTGATTGCAGGTCACAGCTGTGATTGCCCTCTGGATTTTCAGCAGTTGTTGATGTATTGGAGATAGTTACTGCTGGTGAAAATACTTGTGCTGGAGGCTCCAGGGTTATTCTGCAGACCTTGAGTTTGAGGGGCAGGGATCCCTTGTACACACTGCACATCACCTGATGTGGTTCTGCCTTTATGAGCAAGAAAAATCCTGCAAAGAGGAGGCCAGCCAAGCTATTCTGGGTGCACAGACCTGCTGGCTGCCCTGTCATTCCAGCCATAGCCCAGGGAAGTCTTGTGCTGATGTGCTCATGCCATACCCTGCTGAGGAGCCTCTCCCAGTTCCAGGAGTTGAGGATGGTTCAGTTCCTACTCCTGAAGCTGTAGCTCCCACAGTGGGCTGCAATGGTGGGATCTCTCTGGCAGAGCTGGTTTCTCAGGTGGGAATCAGAGCAGCTCCCTTCTGCTCCTCCAACTCCTGTCCCTGTGGCAGTGTTGGAGCATCACAGCAGTGTGCTGCCTCTGCAAAGGACTCAAAGGTGGCTGGCAGACCACCCAGTGTGGCTGTGAGTGTGATGGATTCTTGTTCTTGCTCTGGAGATGCTGGCTGTTTGGCCCCAGGTGCTGGCCTGACCTCTCTTGTGGTGTTAGCTGTTCCCCGAACACCTCTGGCATGACTGCCTAACTGTTGACAGCTGCTGAAGGCTTTGCTGAGCCTGTGCTTGTACCAGCTGACTGTGGCTGGGGCAGAAAGGCTGTGAGCCAGGAGGTCCTTCCTTGGAGCAGGACCCCAAAGGACATGATGGGTGTGTGAAGAGGCACCTTGCCATGGAGAAAAAACCTTGTGCTGTCTGCCTTTGCACGAGGGAGGCGATTGCTGCATGCACAGCATTGGATGTGCTTTGGATGCTCTTGGGCTCCTCAAAGGCAAGGTTGGACTGAGAGTGAGCCTTGCTGGGTGTCTCTTTCCCCATTGCCTGCTTCTTGGGAGACAAACTTGGGAAATAGGATTCATTCCCTGCCTGTATGAGATGCAGTGTGGGTAGCTGGGTAGGCAGCCTAATGCCATGATGGCAAGGTATGATTTGTGGATGGAACAGGTCCTTCTATCCAAGGTGGTGCTGGCATAGAATTAACCCACATTGCTTTCTCCACTGATGTTCAAAGAAAGGCAACAATCAGCCCTCCTTACTGATATGGCTGGACCCTGCGGCACCCAGCACGTCTGGCTTAAGAGGGGAAATGGGGGTGCAGAGCCTGGCTGGCTCACCACGCTCCCCTGCCCGATGGCAGGAAATGAACTGCAGGCTGCAGTGCAAATAAAGCCTGAGAGGCTGCCAGGGATTGCTTTCCTAACCTGCTTACAAAAGCAGTTGCTTCAACACCACGGAGCAGTGCTTGAGGGCTGGGGTGACTCCTGCAGCTGGGGGAGGTGTGGACTGGGGTTTTGTGCGTTGCATGGCGTGGAGGGGGGTCAGGATGTATGGACGAGGACATGTTTCAGCTCCAGTGCTTTGGGCTTGATAGATGGACCCTGATGAAGGCAGAGCATGTGAAGAGCAGGAAGCCATCAGCATCCTTCTGTACTTAGAGGCTCCTATGGTGTCTTTTCCCCCCCCAGACTAAATAAACTTGGCTCCCTTAGCTTTTGCCCCATGCCCAGTCCCTTGGGGCTCTACCAGGGCTCTCTCCATCTGGGGATGCTGGTCCCCAGGAGCCCTGTGCCAAGCTCTTCAGCTGGGACCCATGCCTCTGAGCAGCAGTGATTCCCACTGGATGCACTCAGCATGTGCTTCCCAGTGTGAGAGCTACTTTGGAAAAGCAGTCATCACTGAATGGGTTAATGTTTGGTGGCAGCCTTGCCCCTCCTTGGACACCCGTTCTGCGAGGCCAATTACTCCCATTTAGCCACTGCCCCTGTGATTTCCAACTCCCTCCCCTTGCTTTGCCCATGTCTACCATGAAGTTCATCTTGTTTGACTTCAGATCATCCCACCGATTCATCGAGGTCGACCTTGTTTTGAGCCCTGCCTGATGAAGACCTGTGTCATCTGCAAGTCACGGCAGCCTGCTCATGGTGTACTGCATCAGGTGTTTTGGGGCGAGATGGTGAAAGCCCTTGTGCCATGCTTTCCAGTTCAGTTTTGCTGTCATCTGCTTTCTGCAGGCTTCTCTCCTGCAGCAGAAGAGTCTGTCATCGCCTGGTGAGCATCCCTGTCCTCTGCTGCCTCAACCTATCTCCATCGGCAGTCCAAGCCTGTTACCTTGTCTCCAGGCAGCTTTAATTGGTGCCATATTGATAGAGTTCCTCTTTTCAAGCATTCCTAGTGAGTCCAGGCACTTACCCTTTCTCCTAGGCAAAGGGTTAATAGAGCCTATGTGGAGCCAAAGTATGTGGTTATAACCAGTCTGGCAGGGAGGAGGATGCCAGTGGGTGACCCTGGACATATGCCTGCCTGGGCCGTGTCACAGACTAAAAGTAAAAATTCCATGTACTGCTAGAGATGGTTCCTGCAAGAAATGCAGCATGTGCCAAAAAGCCCATCTGAGGCTCTGCCTCCTCTTGGCTTCATGTCTTTGGAGCAGACATTCAAGTCTTTGGGGTAGGAGATAGACTGATCATTTGTGAAAGGCAGGAGGAATTAGCTGCTGCCCACTGTTTAGTGTCATTCTGCTAGCTCACTCTCCCCACTTCATCCAGTCTTGCCAAGGCCACAAGAGCTGTGGGTCAGCAGCAGATGCACAGGAGGTTCTGCATCCTCCCCTCTCCCACCTGGGGCAAATCATGGTTATCATGATTTGTGCTTGGGGTCTTCAGCTGGATAAGCAGGCAGCAGGATTACAGCTGGAAGCTCATAGGGATTCAGTTTTTGAAAGTTGAAAGAAAGTGCTTTTGGGATTTGAACTTGGTTCTGGAGCACAAGGCTGTTTGGAAACCAGGAGATTCTGATTCAGGGTAGTGACTCACTGGATCATCTTTTAAATCTGCTTTGCTTTTAAATGTTCTCTCTCTCCTGTCTGTGCTTTAATGAGAAACCAGAAAAACTTGTAGTTTGCTGGAAATGACAAGCTTCAGGCATTGAGAAGGAAAGCTCTTGAAGTTCCATGCCTCTGTAAGCTCGTTGAGGCATACACACATCTGCTGTAACTTGTCTGTCCCCTGGTGCAAGCACTCCAGATGTTGCACAGCTCTCTTCTGCCTGATATCACAGTCTTCCCTGTGCAAATTAACAAAAAATAAATGGAAATTTGGTGTGCGAGTTTGGGGTTGGGTGTTCAAGGAAATCATCTGGATTGGCCATGCTTGTCAGCTCCTGAACCACTCCTTCTCCTGGGACTGGATTTTGAGATTGGTTTCTAAAATCTCGGCATATTTTAGCCAAGATCTTCTACAGTATGAAAGTTGGCAGGATTGGTCTCCCTGCTCTCCTAGGGATAGTGTGGTGGTTGTATGAACCACTGCTGGTGAAGCTGAAGGCAGCACTGTCTCAGGCTTGGCGTATGGCAGATGTGTGTCTCGAGCCATGGTGGCCCTTGGGTGATGTGTGTGCCAAGTGCCAGCAGGATGGTGGTGGCTATGTCCCCTGCGTCTGACTCTTCCCTGTAGTCAGGAGGAGGAATAGACTCAAAAGTCCGGAATTCCCTCTTTTGCTTTGCAGCATGTGCTTGTCGCCAGCTTGTGGCTGATGCACACCTAGGGGAACAGCTTGCCCTGTGCAGTTGGCTATACCTCAGATGGGGACCTGCAGTAGTTGAGCAGTCCTGTGTTTGTTCTTCTGAAGTAGGTGAAGCACCTCCATGCTCCCAGGGTAAGAGCCTGCTTTGAGCATCAGGAAAGTTTCAATCTTGCCCAAGGTTATATGGGTAAAACATGGCAAGGTGGAGGTTCAGGGCTTGGTCTCTTCCAAGCTTTGCTCATCAG